TTCAAATTCTGTTGACCATGTTGTCAATATGACTCACTGGTTTAAGTGACTTAACGAGAGAGTTGTAATACACTGTCAAGTATTGATCATTCACTTAGTTAAGAATCATGACTGCCAAAACATCTGTCTGGGTCAATCTATGATAGCCAAACTTGACAATGGGGAATATCATTACTGACTATTAGCTGCTTTAATTGAGTAGTCTAGTGTTTAGACGAAGTGTAGAATCTATGATTCAATGAAAGAAACTTAGACTACTGGTTTATACAACTGCATAAACCAATATTTATTATTTTACTGGTCTTTTACCGATCGTAAAACGTGCTGTTGAGGGTAGGAGAAATTATGAAAATAACACACAATATAATCAGGTTCATTAGATGTGAGTTGAATTGTTTCACACTTTAACCATGTAGGAATTATTATTCGTAAGTTTTCAGAAGTTTATGTGACGTAAAGTTCATCATTAATAATGATTAAGAATTGAAAAGGCGATATAAAACTACAAAAAAGCTTCCGATAATACTGATAAGAACATATGATAGCATGCTTGATGTTACAAATTTCTGAATAAGAGTTAACGGTTACTGACAACTATGTCAAGACTCATTAACAATTCATAATCATTTTATGTACACAATCCTCAAACTTTGATGATCTTCAGTTATACACAAATCATGATAATATTATGTATGTTGTTGCAATAAGGAATTATCAATAATTAAGCAACATCGTAACAAATTTCTATTCAACACATCGATCTAAATCGTAACTATTCAGTATAATATATTGTATAGATGTTTTCACTAGTCACTATCTACCTAGACTCTGTAATTAATGATTAAAATTTTTCAAGCAAATCTACCAGCTATGACTATTTAATCAGTTTATTATCACAGACATAGAGGAGAAAAATATGCCAACAACTTTGATCCTTTATTCAAAGTTTCCCAAAAGTGATTATCAGCAGTAAGCCTTTTATAATACCCATTTGCGGTGTATGCTACTTATGTTGACAAATGTAAGTAGTATGTGACACTAATCAGAAGTGTTTTTCAAAAGATTGAACTGAAAAGAAGAAAACAATTGGAATAAAAAAAGAATTGAAAGAATCATGAAGGATGTAAAAGAAAACTGAAAGATGTTCAAACGATGCATTGGATGTGTGATTTTAACATTTTACTAAACCCCTGTGTGAGTGTGCATTAAACAATAAGTCGATTATCCTCACCAAGTCTTCGTTCACTAGAGGATAAGTACACACATAATTAATCAGTTCAATTAAATCTAAAAATAGAAAGGTTAATTAAGTTTATATTTGCACAGTTGGAAATAGATTAAGCATTTTAGCAGATTGCCTCCATAATTAGAAATATTCAAAAATGAATGGATTATTATTCATTAAAAATCAAACGAAAAACAATATTATATGCAGTTATTGTAATAAAACATCAGTAGCGAATACTATCTATTGAATAAAGTTTAAAAGTGCGCATCCACGATCTCCCCTCGCGGGATTCGAACCCAGGACCTATCAGTCTTGCGCGCGAGACTTTACTTCAAATGAACTTCTGAAAACTTACGAATAATAATTCCTACATGGTTAAAGTGTGAAACAATTCAACTCACATCTAATGAACCTGATTATATTGTGTGTTATTTTCATAATTTCTCCTACCCTCAACAGCACGTTTTACGATCGGTAAAAGACCAGTAAAATAATAAATATTGGTTTATGCAGTTGTATAAACCAGTAGTCTAAGTTTCTTTCATTGAATCATAGATTCTACACTTCGTCTAAACACTAGACTACTCAATTAAAGCAGCTAATAGTCAGTAATGATATTCCCCATTGTCAAGTTTGGCTATCATAGATTGACCCAGACAGATGTTTTGGCAGTCATGATTTTTAACTAAGTGAATCATGCATGCTTGGTTACACTAACAATTGATTTATCGCGAATTTCACTGGAGCGTAAATTCGCAGTGCGGTGATATTTCTTTTCAATCAGTCCGTCATTGTTGTTTTACGCTAATACACATATGTTTAACAATAGTAATAAGATATTTATTAATGATTGGATATATCGAGATTCTTAATAAACATTTTACTAATTCTATTGTGATCAATTCCTAAGCTGTATATTCTAATTTATTCGCTTATTAAGTAGTATCTTCCAATACTGATCATTTCATTCACTTATATACATGCCATAGAGCCATTGAAGAGAAATATTGTGTGACTCGTCTGGATTCGTTCGGCATATCAGAAGTTTACGTTTTTTGGTTTATTCGCTAAAATAAAAACATTCACTCCGGTACTCAGCACTTGGTATATTTATTTAAATCTCAGCTATATCTGTGCTATTTAATTGGACATTGAAGGAATCTGAAATCAGACCGTAACAAAATATCTGCCCGATTAGATGAAAACCTCACATCTGTCCAGATAATCTTATCTAGTCAAAAAACAATATCTTAAAGGTTTCATGTACGCGCTGTGTACATCGCTTTTCTTAGGTAATTACTGTTTGTGTGAACTAAATACACAAAACTATGGTTTCGACAAGGTACTGACAACGGACAAATTGATCTGTTCGTAATCAAATGAAATCCAACGTTAAGAAAACCACTACTGATATGAAATTCCAGCATATTTGAACAATTATTTATTTTATAAATAACGTCAAGGATTATTAGTAGGCCTGTATAATAAATGTTTACACAAGTTTGGTCTTTATTTCGACGTATAATCCCAATAAATCAATATTTTAACTGTGACAGCTTATAGCTTTGAGAAACAGACACGTGATGCTAAACAATACACAGGACTTTATTGATAAATGATTTATGCAGTTTTCGTCAGCTATTGACAATTGAGAATCTAGACCGCATCATCCTAGTCTGAGATATCAGTATCATGGAAAGTATTATGGCACATGAATGCAAGTCACACTAATTGATTAAAACTCGTCAGAAGATACATATTTGCAACATTAAGGAGGGGTGTGTTGCTCCCTGAAGGATTCAAACTTACAAGAACCAGTGTGAGACGATACTACTCAACTATTCAAGTGATAAATGATCTATTGTACAATTGGGATAATTACATTGACTGATCACTGAGTGGTAAATATTGTCGGGCTTATCTAGTCGTCTAGAGCATAATTTCTCTTAATACTACTTAGGCTACTAAACATATTGTAGTTTAATTAAAAGAATACAATCAACACTAGACATTCATCTACCAGTAGTCAGCGTTTAATCATTTGAAAGGCATCATCATTTAAATACATTCATTATTTATACAGAAAGCAAAAAAAACACTTTCAAGTACGTATGATATAGTCACCAACACTAGTATACTTTCAATGTTAAATATATTCCCAAATAGTAAAACAGTAAATTTGATAAACACTCAATAATAATAATAATAAATTTATGTCTATATTTGAAATGAATAAAAAGAATTGAACATTACTAATATAATACAAAGAAAATTATTAATAATCATTAGTTCAGTGACTAATAGTAACCACGAATAGTAACCATGAATATATACGCGCATATATCAAAAAGAAAAAAAGACAAGCAACAAAAAGATAAGTCAGCTAAAAGAATTACCACCGCATATTACTAACATTCAATTGATAAAAGTAAATTCACAATAAAACAAAAAAAAACATTGAATGATATGGAATTATAGTTTTAATGAATTAAAAAAACAAAATAATAAAGGCTACACACATATTTGAAAGCGGAACTTTAATTTCAATGATGAATAGAACTATTTTAATAAAAGCAGATAAACAAAGGGAGAAATTTAACTGTTTAAACAATTGTTGAATTAGATAACATTATTTTAAAAACAAAACTTATTTTCAGAGAGGAAAAGAAATATAATAAACATTCATTATATCATTAATAGAGACAGTAATAGAAAGACAGAAACTTTGTTAGATTTATTGTATTGTTTATAGTCAATAGTTAGTTACCAAGTATGTTTGTTTGTTTGTTGTTGTTGTTGTTGTTGCTGAATATGTATATCTCTCTAAATTGTACCGTCATCATTAGAGATATCATACGAGCTTAATTATAAAAATCATAATAACACTAATGAAATGAATGATTTAAGAATAACACAACAAACCAAAGTGAATAATAAATGATGAATGAACAAACAAACAAACAAGACAAAAGTATCCTTTCTCCCTGACATTATTCACTTTGACATTTTTCAACATACACTATATATATATATAGGAAGATATTTAACGATAAAGTTAGATTGTAACAGTGTTTATTATAGACAAAACAATATCATGAGAAGCGATTAAAAAGGCCACAGTTTGATGTGTTTTTACGGTTTAATGATTTCATTTTAACCATTAAGATAGAGAATACTGATGAACGACCTATGCTTCTTCTTCATGAAGAGTAACAGGTGTAATTCATTAAGATTTCTATTATATATTAATGTTATTCAGTCAGCAGTTTGATTTGTGCTACACGAATATATTTATAATAGATTGTTTGTTGTAAAGATCCTTACGAATATACTTTAAAAATAAAATTGGCTAAAAATTTCAACTCTTGACTCACTGTACTGATACAACACAAAAACAAAAGAGTATTCATTAAAGGAAGACATCGAATAAATACAAGAAATGGCGCCAACATTGAATTATAGTTCCAAAGGGATTAAAGTGAATTGAACAGATATATATTCACTGAATAAATGAGAGTGATTGAAATAATCATAATCATAATACATGATCAAATGCATATACAATACATTCTGATGTACATGCATAATATTTAATAAACAATATTTATATCATTTGACAATATTGAATGAACAATGCAAAATCAATTTCAATTGAACATTAAACATGTTCAATTACATATATATGAATATTTCCTTTAGTAAGAAAGAATTCGTAATAGAAAAGGATTATTTGAAGAAGCTGGAAAAAGGATCTTCTTCTTATGTTTATTTATCATTCAATAAAACCTATAATTATTAATAGAAAACAAAATAATCAGATATCTTTATTTATGTTTTCTTAATGAACAATTCCAACAATAAATATCGATAAATGTTGTAATTAATTAATCCACAGTTGAAATCATGAGTCGATCTAAGCTAGACAACCATTGTCCTAATACGAGACTACTCAAAAGTACGCATCCACAATTCAGTACACAGAACTCGAACTTACGACTTTCGAACTCGCGCGCGAACATCTAAACTCTAGACTAGAACTTCAATCGACACATGATTTTGTACAACCCTTCATCCATTCTTGAGGTGGATAATTGTCTCATACCCGACACGGATTGAACTCCACTACCCACAGTTTCTTATTAGAACTTCAGGAAATCCATCTTGAAGCCAGTCAATACTTACACGTTTTCAATAGTGTTCTAGGTTACATAGACTGGTGAATTCAACTGTGAAGATACTACCATCTCCACAAATTTCCATTCTGTTAATTTATTCTATTTGGAATTCCATAGATGAACATTGTTAGTGATGGATTGACAGAAAACTAATAGAATGTTACAATTTTGATTGATTTACGATAGGTTCTGTCCCAAAACGTGTTTTGTTGAACAAATTAGAGAAATAAAGCAAATGAATGTAATTTGTATGTTGTTTTTACCGATTAGATCATCATATCATCATCAAATGATCGTCCATAACACCGAAGGAATATGTAACTAATATGATTAGACTTATTTTTATTTTCTGAAGAATTGACTTACAATAAGTCATGAGAAGTCGGGAAATCTAATTTCATTTTTTTATCGACTGTTGTTTACCGCTAATATATATATGATACACTTAACTGTTGTTTTGAATTGAATGAGGAAAACTTTGGTAATCAAATAGAATGTTTGGAGACCTAAAGGTTGAGGAAGATATATGGTAAGAAATCTGTTTGACATCTAATTTATCTGTATGCAATTGATAACTGAACTCACTTACTGGACACAAATGGTAACACTATGTCTAAAACAGTTGCTTCATAATTATTTATTGACACATATGTGTATGTACGGAATAGAAAACTGTCCGAATACTGCCACTTAAGGATTTAGCCTTATTTAGAAACAACTGTCAGAACTTTCGACTTATAAATCTAATCCAGAAGACATTGGAGTAACGTCAAAAGATCCAGTCCCATTATAACAGAAGGCTAAAACAGGTTCATACAAACTTTATTACCTTAGAATCGTGGAGGTCATACACACTCTACTAGGTGAACTTTCTGCATCTATCAACTCTGTGTGATCACAAAATCTCCGCTTTTCGTATTCATACGTTCATAAAAATAAACAACCCTCATCTATGTGAACTTCAAGAGAGTAGACTATAGCTACGTCTGACCGAACCGAACCATATCACTATTTAATTATTAACTGTGCTATCTCTCTTATATTACGCTAAAATATCGCTTCATTTTTCAATCCCTTTTGTGTTAGAATTTAATGTGCTTCATGAAATAAAGTTCCACAGAAAAACAGATCAACATTAAATCATATTTTTATAGATCTTAGTTAGACCATCATTAAAAAAAACATATAAGCACTGGATGGCTACTTTTTCTAGTATAGGACTTCCCTTCAGCATTGTACATCCATTAGTCCGCATCCGCGAATTGGACCCAATGCCTTTGGTATGAACTGCGAACACTTAACCACAAATGATATAATCAAGATGGATCAATAGGTAAACTTACTAGTTACACCGTCATCTGTAGATAATTGATGTTGTTGACCTTTTAAATTGCTGTCACCAACACCAGAAGCTTGATGTTGTGATTGTAAAAATGAGCTTTGTCTAGAATTATGAATATTACTAGCATAATGAAATTGTTGTTGTTGTAGTTGTTGCATGAACTCTTGTGATGACTGACGATCAGTCAATAAAGTAGAATTCATTTGTGACCTTGATAAACTACTACTACCACCACCACCACCACCGATTGTGTTATTCATCAATGAGCCACTAATTACTGATGGTTCACAACTCGTCTGACGCATTAATCCACCTCTTTGTGGTAATCTTGACTGATGATGATTACTAGGATTATTACTATTAGTATTATTCAGTAATTGTGGTGTTACAACATTAGGCAAAACTTTAACACCAAACATTAATTGACTATTAGTAGTACCACTCGGATTACTATCCATATTATTCCCGGGTAAGGGACTACCACGGCCAACAATACCATTATTATTATTACTATTGCCGGAATAAATACGAGAACAATGTGAAATGTTGTTGTTCGCACTTGATATAGAAGGAGTACAGGATGAAGGAAACATTTCATGTTGAATTGATGGTTGTTGTTGCAGTTGCCTGTAATGATTTTGTTGTAACATTGATGCAACAGAACAATTGGGACTTGTTCGATGAAGAAAGTTCAATTGAGGCTGTTGTTGGTAATGATGATGAATATTACTATTATTATTATTAGTAGTGGTAGACTGTTCATACATTAAGGATGAATTAAATAGTGATGGATTTTTATTACCAGCAAAATCGGATAAATTTAATCGTGAAGAGTGTTGGTGATGATTGGTTGTTAGCAAACTATTATTATTATTAACAGTATTGATATTGTTTAATGAAGAATTATGTGAAACTAATTCACGACTAACACTGCTTGAACGTCTAGGCGGATGTACTAATGGACGATCATATAGACGATTACCAATATGAGGAGTTTGTTGATAGGCCTAGAATGATTTACAAATAAAATATAATGAGCAATGAACGATTAATTTATCATTGAACAGTAGCTAATGTTATATTTGCCTAACCTTTAAAGTGTTGACTGAATTCTCTTAATCAATATCCATAGTATACAAGAGTCTAAATTGACCAGACATTATGAGTATTATTCTTTGATAATTAGTAATTGAAGTCCGTTGGAAAGAAACTTGAGGTCAAGATTTTGTGTTAGTTGTTGAAATAATGGATCCATTGGATATCGATTAGATGATGAACTCACGTGGTTGATTGAAATATCGCTTCCTCTACTAAGGAATGATATATAGGTATACAATTAGTTCTCAATTCCGCTGATCAGTAAAGGGCTTCTTTATCACTCGATCTTCCCAATCTTCTCGCGGATAGGAAACTTGTTTATCAAAAGCAGAATAATCCATCAAAAAACACAATAGTCGTCACTTGTCTTGAAGGGAATTATAAGTATATTACTATGGTAGATAGTATTATTAGTTTATTCTTACGCGCATTTTTTAGGCAATGATATATATAATATTTCACAAGTTGAAATCATGAGTCGATTGAAGCTAGACCACCATGGAAAACCTGGAAGCACTGGACGGTAAGAGGAACTAATATCTCTTTGCTTGCACTAACACACACAGCACCGTTTTTCGTTCAAGTTTAGTGCACAAAAATCTTTAACTTATTTCTGAGATCGTGATTGTGAGCTTGAAAAAGCAATCTTTCAGAATTATTCAGATTCTACTTTTTATTTATTACGAAGTATTTTATTTAGAAAGTACAAATGTATGTGGTGGCAATATATAAGAGAAAGATTGCATATAGAGATATAGTACAAGAAGAAGAAATTGGTTCGTAGAAAGAAAGATATGAAGCGATTTTAATCTCTTATTTTGAGTTGAGACAAAGTGTGTATACACCTACTCCATTGTGATCGATTCTGAGCCATGTCACCAAGAGTCTCCGATCATTAGTTACGATAGTCACGCGGACCCCAACCAAGTAGTCTGCATCTACCAACATGGCTCAGACTAGAAGTTAGTGACTTCAAGCACTGATGTCACGTTTTGGTTTGGCCGCCCATAACTTTCTTCCAACCATCTCCAATACCGGATAGCATTGCACGTCGTTGTAATCGGTATTCAGGCATACGTAACACGTGGCCCAACCATCTCAGTCGATGAAGATTCATAACCTCATCAACTGATTTACCATCATTCCCTGATACCCTGCGTCCAACCTCACTATTACTTACCCGGTGATCCCAACAGACGCCAGCAATATTTCTAAGGCATCTGTGGTCAAATACTAATAGCTTACGAGTGTCTTCTGCTCTTAATGGCCATGTTTCGCTGACGTAAATTAAAACAGAACGGACTGCTGCGCAGTATACTCGTCCTTTTATTGATAGACGGATATCTCGCCTTCGCCAAAGGTGATGCAAGTTGGCAAAAGTCAAACGAGCTTTTCGAATCCGTGCTGAGATTTCGTCAGACACCAACCCATTAGGGCTGATCAGACTTCCAAGATAAGTGAAGTTGTCAACGCGTTCGACTACTTCACTCCCTATCCTTAGTTCAGGTATTGACGCAGACCAATCCTGAAGCAACAACTTGCATTTAGAGGGAGAGAAGCGCATTCTAAACATTCTGGCATTGTTGCTTAGAGTGGTCAGAAGACTCTGCATTTTGTCAGCGTCTTCACCAAACAGGACTATGTCATCTGCGTATTCTAAGTCGATAAGTGGACCTCCTGGATGGAGATCAATCCTCGAGAACTCAGTCGACGAGAAAGTTATTTCCATCAGTAGAACTATGATGAAGTTAAACCAAAATGGGGAAAGTGGACAGCCTTGACGGACACCACTTGAGGTTGCAAAATCAGATGACAGTTCGCCATAAGCTCTGACTCGACTAGTAGTGTTCGAGTAAAGAGCCTTCACAAGGTTTATGTACTTCTGACAGACACTGCCACAGAATCTCGCGGTCTACAGAGTCAAATGCTGCTTTTAAGTCGAGAAAGACCACCATTGTCGGACGCCGATAAGTATGCCTGTGTTCTAGAATCTGACGAATGGTGAACATGTGGTCGATGCAGCCACGACCAGGTCTGAAGCCAGCTTGGTTTTCTCGTGTTTGCAGTTCACGAGTCTTAGTTAGGCATCTGATAATTATCGAAGCTAGTATTTTAGATATTATATTAGTTAAACTAATCCCTCTGTGGTTGTCACAGGATGATTTTGACCCTTTCTTATATATTGGGACGATGAGTGATTGTGACCAGTTAGATGGAATAACATCTAACTCCCAGATTTTAGCTAAAATATTAGTCAACCTAATCGCTAAAATTGGACCACCATCCTTAAAGACCTCTGGAGCCAATCCATCTGGACCAGCTGCCCTTCCTCGTTTCAGATTAACTATAGCCTTATCAACTTCAGCAAGAGTTGGGGGACCTACTTCAATGTTCACGCTGTCTGGGAATGGAGGGCAGTTGTATAGTAGCTGAAGACCAGCTGAACTGTTCTATGAAATGTTCCGATCATCGTTCTAAACGTCTGGACTGGGAGCAGATGAGAGTATCATCTTTTTCCGATATAATCTCACTTACACTTGACTTATTAATTCCAGTTTCTTTTATTAGTCTGTAAAGCTGTCTTGTGTTCCCTATAGTCGCAGCCTTTTCCATCTCTTTTGCTTTCGTTGCCCACCACTGCTCACGGTCGTTTCTTCAACTTTTGCTTAACCTAGATCTGATTTGTTGTCGCTCTTCGTCATATTCGGAACCTGATGGGACGAGTTTACGAGAATCCATCAGTCTGATAGACTTTGAAGAAATCCACTGGTTCTTTGTAACTCTGTGGTTTAAGTCGCTAATAGATGTCACTGCTGTTTCCACAGCTGCTTGTATGTCTTTCCAAGCAACATCTGGGTCAGCCTCGTCTTCAGAACTACCTAATTGTGACCTCAGTTGTTCTTGGAACCTATTTTTGGTTTTCTCGTTACTCAACTCAGTTCTAATAGCTCTTGGTCGGGTTCCACGTGACTATAGTAACCATTGGTTGGAGACTCTTGGTGATATGGCTCAGAGTTGATCACAATGGCGTCGGTGTATACACTCTTTGTCTTCCCCTTAAACAATGATATTTACGTTACTTTATACTTTTCTTTCTATGAACTAATTCTTTCTTCCTGTATCATATCCTTATATGAAATCTTTTCTTTGACTACCTTTGAAGTAACCGCTTCTATGAATTTGGCGTTCATCTTGTGCTAATGAGGTGTGGCAACTTGGACGGATGTATATATGTGCCTGGTCCTATTCTATAGCTAACTGACTGATCCGCTTAAGACTATATTATGCGGTCAGATGTATTGAAGTATGTATGCTTAAGAAACTAATCAAAATAACCTATACGATGCGGACAGCGACAACGTATAATCACCTCTCTCTTCATTATTATAAAATACCAGCCAAACGAAAAAGGATCGCTCAACATTATTCTCTAATTTATCCACTGATTACCTTTCGAAAACATCTTTGAAAAAATTGTCTGATAGTAATATAGATGTATCATTTGAAGAAAGAATCATCCATTTTCAATGTAAGCGAGATATTTTGCTGAAAGAAGGAACATAGGTTATACAAATTAAACATCTTCAGTTTCGAACGCATCTTTAGTAGTGGTCTACTGAAATTAGTTGAGGAGTTAAGTCATGATTGTTGTGAAAGACGTGGTCAATGTACGCTGCACCTTCTAACCCAGTTCGTTATTGGTACTGTGGTGACGTTAGTATAGCTGGAGAAAAGCGTTTATTATAAACAGCATCGATATGATTATTATATGTTGAAGAAACCTAGCCTTTTGATCAACGCTGTTTGATGCTCCGATAGCTTAGATATATTTATTATAAATATGGTAAATTCATTGAAGTTGTGGATCCTTATCGATTGAGGTACTTAGAACATGTGTTACATACACCAAACTACAGCCAACCTCCACACGTTATATTACCAGCTAAAAGCAAAACGTGATATCACTTCTTAAAGTTATTGACTATTGAACTGCATTACGTTAGTAAGTCCAAACCACTTGGTTAAATAACATCTAGGTGTTATAGCTGATGACAGTTCGTGATTAAAACCTGTACTCTAATTCCCAACCCTAACTTCGAACTCGTGATCCTAAACTTACTTCCTCGCACTGATTTACAACCCTTCTTTTAACCCTATGAAGCAGATGAATTTTCTCAAGGTCATCTATCTTCGTATTGCTTCAAAGTCATCCATAAATCATAGTCTCACCTGTGGTATTCATTCTGGTAAACCTAAGCTATACCCTAAACTGACTATGAATGACCATGAAAGGAAAATACAGTTTTACTTGACATTTCTGTTAATTATGACATAAGAGGAATTTTATCAGTTATCTTTGAAAATAATGAAATTTATGGAAATTGTTGAGAGATTTATTATTGATCAACGACGATGACAAATAATGTATATATGATTCTATGAGACTCAATCCAGATATATGTAAAAAGGATATAAAGTATTACAACCAATTAACGGTGGGAAAATTGATTTCAGTTATCTAATGAACGGAAGATACAGCGACGATATATATCGATTAATGAGGAGGAACGGATGCAGATGTGAAGGCAAGGATTGACAAAGCAAGGGTAGCATTCCTACAGTTGGACAACAAATGGGACTCAAAACAACTGTCAACCAACATCAAAGTCAGAATCTTTAATATGAACGTCAAGACAGTTCTACTGTATGGAGCTGAAACTTCGAGAACTACTACAATCATCATCAAAAAGGTACAATTATTTATAAACAGTTGCTTACGTAATATAATAAATGTCTGTTGACCGGAAAACATCAGGAACAGCCTACTGTGGGAGAAAACAAACCAGCTTCTAGCTGAAAAGGGAATTAAGAAAAGATACTGGCAGTGGACAGGATATCATCAAACTGCATCATTAGACAAGCGCTGAAGGGAACGGAAAAGAGGAGGGCCAAAGAACATGCTGCATCGAGAGTTGGAAGCAGACATAAAAAAATGAATAGTAAATGAAAGCAACTGTGAAGGATTGTCCAGGACAGAGTTCGATAGCGAATGCTGGAGGGCGGCCTACGGTCCTCCACGATGGATGACAAACGTAAGTTATATATGGACATGATTAAAAGTCAAATTATTCACAAATCATCTTGTTATAGTTATAGATGATGATATTTAAGTTAGCCGGACAAATTATTTAGCATTTTTATGGCGAATAACAAGATTTTTTTCATCAAACAAACAAAAAGAACAAAATCAGTTTAACCAACCTGACTACCACGACGTATTAAACCTGGTGTAACAGAAGCATAGTTGGAATTTTTCACAGAAGATGGACTTAATGGAGGACCAGGAGGAGGAGGAGATGAACAGATTTTACCAGAGGATATTGTTGAATCCAATGACTTTTTAAAATACTCTGATTGACGTCGTCGAAATGTTGAAGTACCAGAATTAACAATTGTATTTATGTAACCGATAGCATCACCATTAGTAGTAGAAGCAGAAGACTGTGATGCGTCATATAAATTATTATTAGTATTAATATCATTCCCATTCGAAGATAATGACGGTGATAACGTAGTAGCTAAATACCCTGATGACTGTGTTATTGATGTAGGATGAAAGAAAGGAGAAGTAGTTTGATCGGTCGTTATCAAGTTATTGTATTCCCATAAACTAGAAACATTATTATTATTCACACTAGACATATGTGTAGTATTACACAATGAACGAGAATTAATCTCTTGTCCCCCACTATCACAACTGACATTATCAAGTGTTGTCATCGGTGGCCAAATGAAATGAGATGACTGTGGTAAACCTTTTTTCGAAAATGAAATAGACAATAAAATGTGAATAAATAACTGACATAATGAACTGATTCTTTTTTTGTATTGAACACTTCTAACATATATATTAGAGTTCATAGGAAAGATCATTTAAGAAAAAAGGATAGAGAAAATTAATTGTAAGGTTGTGAATTTTCATCGACTGAGATGGTTGGACCACGTGTTGCGCATGCCTGAATACCGATTACCACGACACACAATGCTTACTGGTGTTGGGGGTGGTTGGGAGAAAGTTAGGGGCGGCCAAACTAGAACATGGCATCAGTGCTTGAAGTCACTAACTATTAGTCCGGGCCATGTTGGTAGATGCAGACTACTTAGTTGGGGTCCGCGTGACTATCGTAACTAATGATCGGAGACTCTTGGTGACATGGCTCAGAATCGATCACAATGGAGTAGGTGTATACACACTTTGTCTCAACTCAAAATAAGAGATTAAAATCGCTTCATATCTTTCTTTCAATGAACTAATTCTTTATTCCTGTACTATATCCTTAGATGCAATCTTTCTTTTATTACCATTGACTTAACTACTCCTATGAATCTGGTGTTCATCTTGCTGTGCTAATGCAGTATGGCAACTTGGACCGATGCATATATGCGCTTGGTCTTACGTTGTAACTGACTTACTGAATTATGAGGCTTAAGTGGAAGATTACAATACCTTTTTCAACAGATTTGACACCATTAAGATCATCATTAAAAGTGGTATGTGCAGTCTTTCTATCATAGAATATACCCATTAATTAACTCAGTGTTATAACAAGAAAAAGTTAGACAAAGTTGAACTTTCGAAACAGTCCTGTTTGAAGTTATTGCTTTGATTTTTGCTATTTAATTATATATAACTAGATTATTATATTTCGTTTTTTAAGTATTTTACTTTCAAACATTTATGTAGTGCATAAACGGTTGTTACGTTTTGTATCTTATTTAAGTTACCATTACTTTACGACAAATCTATCCCTTAATCGTTTTCCATTTATGAATCCCACTTATTCACTTCTCATAATTTCCTAATTATCATGATATATGATCAGGATTGTACTGTATATTCATCAATTTAAACTGCATAAATAACAATTACTTAATTGCTCTATTGTGTTCTATCCTGGCTAGTGAGTGAGCAAGTATGAGTATTTATTATTTATTTATTTATTTGAACACACAGATACTGGTACAAGGGGGCACTAGACACATATGCGCCACACAAATCTTGTTTGGTTTGTGTGAGGGCTATGATACTGTTCGGGTGCCTAAACCGAAGCAGGGAGCAAGCATGAGAAACTGCATTTATTGAGTTTTCGGCTGTTATAGTACTATTATCATGCCATTGGCACTAGACAGACAATCTAGACGAACTAATCATTACTTTGACTAGATCAATACAAGTTTATTACGGTCCGATTATACGGTCTCAAAAAATAACACACAAAAACTCGTTTTATTTTTTACTGTCACACCCAAACGTAAGCCGCATATCATAAACTCTCAAGCCCCCATTACCACCACTAGTTTCCTTTTATATTAATTACTAACTTGCTCCATTTTTAATTTACACATTTCAATTCAATTACTTATTAAAACTTACTTACTTACTTACGCCTGTTACTCCCCAATGGAGCATAGGCCGCCGACATTCATATTAATTTATTATTATTATTATCATCATCATCCCAATTAACCTAAAGCAATATTTCTTCTAATATGTAATATTTTCATATGAGTTATTTTGATGTAATGAAAAGAAACTAGTTCACGAAATAAAGAACAGTGAGACAAATATTGATTATTGTTATCAAAGATTAGGAAGTCTGCTGTTACTTTACCAGTAGTCTCAGCATTTACTAAACTGTATAATATGTATGATATTAATATGAATTAGTTTAAAATTCAAATTACCTGAATCAACTTTGTTGATATCACTGACAGGAAAAGAATCTGCGACAACTGTTGGAGTGAGCATTGATTCATTCGATGGCAAACTGAATTTACGACTAGTATACAAGGAACTGCTGTCATTATTCGGTACAGTTTCATTGTTATTGCTATTATTGTTTATATTATTTACAGTGGGAGAATTACGACTTTGAAATTTACGTGCAGCAGCCTTCTTAAGTTCATTCAAATTTGTATAGACTGGTGAAGGTATAGCTTGATTAGGATATAAGGTTTGTACTTGATGTGCTGAAATTTAAGATATATATACACTACTATTATTATTACAACTACTCACATTTATATAAGTAGTTTTTAAACGGAAAAATGTAAACAGAAAAGTTTACAATGTACACAAATCATTATACTAAACACGTAAACACACTTGCATTAAGGTGTAATATTCACAATAGTAGAAATGAAGTCTGATCTTATGTATTTAATTTATGCTACTCAATTAATTTATCGGTAGTATGATTTGTACTTAAAAACTTGACAATGTGAAATAAGTCATAACTGGAGTTATAAAATAATAAGTGCGAAATGATACAATATATCGATTAAAAGTGCTGTTACTAAGACCGCAAAATGCCAAAATCAGTAGTAGGTTGCAGATATTAAGTGGCAAAATAGGACGAAGTGTAAACCCTTAGTTCCATTGGTAATCACAATATTCTATGCTGTAAAACTTGTGAAAAAAGCGAAATTAATTAGAAAACTGGAATATTCTGTATCATATGGTAAGCAAAACAGCTTAAACACATTATGGGACTGATATAAAAAAATGCGAAAAGTCAAAAGTTTGCAAAATAATGTTAAAATACACTTTGACGAAGATTGAAACAATCGAAAATTCTAGTCTCTACGAAACCTCCTACACTAGCAATAATAATGTACACAATCTTCACCAACTTCAATTTCTGGAGCTCAAGAAAGAAACTGTGACTAGTGGAGTTAAACTATATCGGGTGTGACAGTTAAACATGAAGACAATGGGCAGATGGTCATGCATATTCTTGTGAATTGATTGAAGTTAGGTATTAACAACGTAGGATATCGACTCAGTAGCCTAGAAGTTGAATGTTTACGTACGAAACCGAGTGTGCTGAGTCCGATCTCCTGATCTGGTGTTATAGATGAGCACTGCTAAGGGGTCTCATATTGCAACGAAAAAGTTGCTCAGCGCCACCTATACTATGAAGAAACGGCCACTCAATGTTCTCAGGTCTCCAATAATGGTCAAAGATCATCTTGTGATCTAAACTATAGAAGATTGATAGTCCCGTACAGATAAATTAACAGTAAGTAATTGTAAAAGAACAAAATTTGAAACAGTAGATAAAGACCTACATTTATCCAGACGGGTTTCATCACTATGATCTAATTTCTCATCATCTGTTTCACCATCCTCCGTATCTTCAGTAGTGGTGCCACCAGCACCGCCGCCGCCATCATCAGCATCAGCTTCGACGCTGATATCAACATTACTTGTTCTTCTTTCATGATTAATATCTTGACCATTATCGTTTTCATTATTGTTAAAATTTTCAGATGGAAAACCGAAAACAGCATTATCTTGAGTTGATTTACTACTGGTTTTTTGACGTTCATTTACATTCATACTTTTATTACTTAAACCAGGTAATGGAATCCAATCTGGTTGATGGAGAAAAGTACAAAAGTAAATGGAAAATGCAGCAACTAAAGTATATATTGAATAAACACACTACTCATAAGTAACCATTATTATATAGTACAATTTCCTTGATCGCGCAGTCTCGACAGATCCTGAACTATGTTACTCACTATCTCGTCCAACCACTGGTTACAATAATCTAAAGAACTTTAATTAGGAAGCCTGTGCCTACTAACATGGATTAGATCGACAGTTATCGGCTTCATGAGCTGATGGTTTGGCTGCCCCTATCTTTCGCCCAACCTGCTCTTACATTGGGTAACTTCGAGCTTCAAGGTGAGCTGTCGTTGGACATATGTAACACGTGTTCCAAACAACGTTGGAGATGTACTGGAATTTGATGCACAACTATATTAAAGTTTATTGAATGGAAGTGTTAGACTTTTTACAACGTTTAAAAACAGATAAAAAGACAGCAAAAGTCAGAATTTCTTAATTCCTTTTGAGATTGTTATTTCTCATCAACATATCAACACGCAATGTTATGGTTATGTATTGGTTGCGCTTAGTTGAATGACCTTTATGATGGATTAAACTCAATAGGCTAAACTATCGTTTGCTTGTTTATTCCAACTAAGTCATTTATCTGATAATAATCAATCATTAAAAACAACTGAACCTAAATAGTAAACTATTTACTATTCTTATAGTTTAACAACAATATTTCTAATCCCCATAGTATCCAAACATGGATTCTGATCATTTAAAAACTATGTACTTTTTTAAAGCTGTTATTACGATTTCTTTTGAAACTTATAAAGAAACTCATAAACTTGTTGTGTTTGACGATAGAGTACAACTACTCCGATTAACAAACAATTAGAAGATGCTTCTAATACGAAACGGGACCTATGGGAATTAGATAATTGAAACGATCAATAATATAAAATATTTCAAGAATGATCTGTGAAGTTAAAGATGATAGAAAAGTCAATAATTTAGGCAAAAGTTTGATATCAAAACAGGTCAAACTTCAAATATGATCTTGAGATACACACAAAATAAAACTAAACAGATGGCAGTAAAATTTTGCAGTTATATATATATATTGTGCTGTATGTAATTTGTTTTTAAAATACTTTTGTCTTATTCTGCCTATTATCAATTTGATTGTTTTCACTTTATCGATTATGTCTTGTTGAAACAGAGCCTGCCAATCCAAAATGGGATCATTTTTCCCAGATCATACGTTTGAATTATTAATGTCTGTATGTAAAGTGTTATGTGAATGATAGTCAGTCACACTGACAACACGTTAAGATACTTCGTGTTGTGTCTACTGAAATGAAGGGAAATAACAATCATCAAGCTCGACAGACAGAGAAATCATTTGAACATACATACACATGTATATGTAAGGGAAAATTACATAAAAACTAGATATGAATAAAAGTGTAAAATGAGGTGGGGAATAGTACCATTTAAGTAATAGTTATAACATGGCAGACTACAGTGGACCATTATTACTACTGTTATGGTGGTTATTGCTAAATCCAGGGTTTCAAAGATAATGTCAACAAAATCTGGAAGATACACTATCCCGCTTGACAATAACTGAAAATAACAAGAATGGAAACGATAATACAAATGGTAAGCAGTCAATACATGAATAATGCGGCTAGCTGTAAAGCTACACATACACACAGCCCAGGCTATTAGTTTATATTTACTACAAATCAAAATAGGAAAGTATTGTGTATACTACTAGTAATACTTCTACTACGAATCGAATACTAATTAACAAAAGATATCTTCTGAGCGATAAGTACCACTAACTAAACAAAGCGCGCAACTAGGGGTGAACATAAAAGGAGATATAAAACGATGAGAAAAATACGATGACTTTAACAGCTTACGTGAAAATTTCTGCTTACCTCTTCACATACAATATGACCAATTATAACAGTTTGAGAATTCAAATTGAATCAAAGCGCATAACTCACTTAACTATAAATAACAGAATGAGTAACTCTAGTCCTGAAACCCAAGCGATCTTATAGACTATCATATAAAGATCTGTCGAACACCACAACTTAATTTATCTACAATAAATGTATGAGATGGTGGTTGGACGCAGTCGACAGGAAACCTTGGATTTAGGGTTTCGTGCTATTTGGTACTCATCGGCAAGGTGTATCTGTTTTCTTGACGGAATTGATGCTCCCTGACGAATTCGATCCCATGTCGCTACGTATCACAGTCAAAGACTACCACTGAGCTACCCGGGCTGAGACTGACCTCTTGTAGGGCTGAGATGTATTTACAATTGATTGATCACTAGGTAAAACCCAGGTTGGAAGTTGGTTGATAGAATTTGATCTGAACTAAGGAGGTACGTGGCACTCTTGACATTGATCACAACCCAGTGATCAATCAATTGCAAAAACAACAAAAGTGGGTGTGAAACAATAAACAAATAACAACCATAGATATGAATAAATGGCAACGCCTGTAACTGTAGTGTAGTAATTACTGATGAGGTAGTACACATCCATACAAAGAGACGCAAAAGTTTCCTATTGATGCAACCAAGATCACCTCCCTAAATGAAACGAGTTTGTTTTATTTAAATTCAGAAAGGAAGCGAAGTATCGTCGGAACGAATTTCACAGTTAGTTAAAATTTCATACTAATATTACTACTGAACGAAATCTGTTGCAAACATTGTTGTATTTCACATGATCGATCTACATAATTCATTAACTAACGGGAAGGATTGGGAATTATTAAACAGTCGTTAACATAAGACTTGTAACAGATAATTGTAAATAAATGACCAAAGAATGTACTAGTATTATGGGGCATTGTTTACATTTTATTCCTAGAGTATGTTCTTATTGAAGTTGGAGTGTGTTTGAAGGGGCCCACATAGATTATTCTAGTCTCTGGACAGATCAATCTAATCATTTTTCTCAAACCACATTTTTATCCTGTTACTTATTCGCTTATTAACACCGACTATTTTTTGTGTGATCATATGGTGTGGTAATTACTTACTCTATGAATCATGTGTCTGTAACTTATTTTCGTTTGGATATAAATATTGAGTCACGCTTGATAAAAACGAATTGGCTCACTCGCTTTCTGTACTGCGCGTTACTTTGTTTCGTATCGCTCTCTCCTCTTCGCTTCCTTCACTCCGTCTCTGGTTGTTCAGATCAACGATTGTACGAAATATACGTATTTAAACTTTATTCTCGTCCCGCTATTCACTAATTCAATCTAAGTTGATTGTATACGAGGGTAGTTGGAATGTATACATCAATAACAATCATCACACGATCCACTTGGAGTCAGATACAGAGCAACTAAAGGTTAACAATCTAATCAAGAATATAATGTGCTTATTTCATGTGCGACTCATCACCTGAATGTAACCTGCATCTCAGTGTTGGTGTTCAAACGAAACTCGCCTCAAACGCCAGCGTACTCATCCACTGATTTAGTGAGTTCAGATTACCACCTTGGATGTTTATGTACTAACAGAGACTGATTAACTGTAGCCCATAAAATTAATAAACGAAAAATACAAACCTTTAAATATTATATATAAATATATAAGTTTTTTACATTTAGGTTTTACTACTGATAAGGTATATCTGTCAATTTCAGTATGAAAATATACTGATTATAAATGATAACAGAGTCTAAAATTTTTTCATAGGAAAGTCCTAATTCTAGGGTACATTTATTTGATTTAATATACTTTGGAATGTCCTATCTAAGCTTTTTGGAATTCTAACCGAGTGCACACACACATAGAGAGAGAGAGAGAGAGATGAAAGTCGGCTAACTTGAAACAAACGACTATATGTAAACAGTTTGTACACTGAGACAAAAAAATGACTGAAATTTATTAACCAAGTACCCATAGCAGATTTTTTTAACTGTCATTTTAATATTAGGATGAAATTCTAACAATATGAGACAGAAGATAATCACATTTCATCGCTTATCAATCTATAATTTTCTTTTAGACTTAGTCACAAACAAAAAATGAACACTGGGTATCTAATATATCGTGATTTAGTGTATGTACGACCGATCTCAAAACTGGGTGTCTACCGAATCTTCCATCCGGTTCAGCAACACTGTCGGAAAATTTTCCTGGTACCGGCAGTAGTGTGATGTTTCGGTATATTACTTAACGCTAGATGTTCATTAAATCTTATGTAATCACTAGTTTGGGTGCCCAAATATTGCAATAGTCATTTTTATTTGATATTCAGCGGCTTCTGTAGGTAACCTTAGCTTGTAGGCAAATGGCAAGTAAAGCGCATATATAACTGTTAAAAAAAATTGGAGTTAAAGATTACAAAACATGATATTAATTTACTACTCAATAATCAATTAGTAGGTGAATATATCACGCTTAAAGAAGTGACTTATAGTGTGTTGTATGCTAATTATGTGGGTAGAAATAAGTAGTATGTAGCATGAATCGGAAGTGGAAGGCTTAGTAACAGAAGATAAAAATAAAGAGAAGAGGAAGTAAATTTTTCTAATTATATGAAGCAGGTGCTCACGTTAATTCAATCCTTATTTTAAATTACAACTGACCACTGTGTGTCAGTATCACCAAGGTAAGATTTGATAGTTAAAAAATAAATCGAGCATTGAACAGATAATTAATAATAAAATAAATTTATTTATTTATCCCAACGAGTAGTTATACGACTTTCTGGCGTCTCGTCACTTAATTTTAACCAATTCTTTAAGGAATAAATAAATATTCAGATTAAATTAACACGAGTTTAAATAGCATAGAGGAAAAGTGCATAATATTTAACTCAGTCAACCGCTAAAAACCAGGAGGCGCTGGAAAGCTTTTTCGTTTTAATAATACACTTCTTAGCAGTGTACTTTTACGAAACCACAATGGGTCGAACCCAGAAACTTTTGGATATATGTTAAGCAATCCTAGCGATAATAATACTGTGCACACTCGAGCACATCAGTT